GCCCAGTCAATGGGGAAAAGATACAATCACCACTTTCCTTAGAATAAAACCAAGATGCCCTTCCTGTCTCAGTGTGTTTGCTCTTCCAAGCACACCCTCTTGATCAAGAGTAAAGTTTGCCTTGTCCAGACACTTCAATTGAGTGACAGTCTCTTTCTTTGCAACACCGAACATATTTCTATCAATACTGATCAGAATATATAGGTAATAATTTCCTAGGTCTTATATTATGCTACAGGTTACATGATACTGCCATTGCTGGGACCTTACATAGAACTCTTATTTCTTTCTTTTCTTTCAATTCACTATAATTACTTCAAAATAAAATTTAAAATAAAACAGTCCTAAGTATAAGAACCTGACATGGAACCTACATCTGCCTGACTCTTAATGTGTTCTATTTCTCTGCTAGCTAATATCATACTTATTACAACTTCTTTTATTAAAACATATACATAAGTGCAGCTTCCTAGAAGGAAGAATAAAGAAGAGGTTTATCTCAGGTAACATTTAAAGAATTTCAACAAACACTTGATTAAAAACTTTAAAACATAGACTCCTTCTATTCAGAGCTATAGAGATCAGTTGTTTGAATATGCTAATGTGGTAATGAAAGAACTGGCAGTCAGGTAGAAAGTGACTGCAGAGAAGCCTTGCTACCTTGACTGGAAGCCTGCCTCTTGCTGGTGGTAGCTCTGGAATGTTCTGTCATGTGGCCTTGTATGCCTGAAAGTTAACAGCTGTGCCTCTCTTCTCATACCAGGCCAACAAACTGCACAGCAGAGAGCTGTAAATAGAGCCATTACCTGTACATTTGGTATTTCTTCCCATCCACCCAGGATCTGCCTGATGAGCCAGCTCATGTGAACACAGACAAATTACAATCATCACAGCCAGAGAGGTAGAAGGGTAAAGCAGTTGATTTTTATCTTTAGATTTAAGTCATCATAATCATGTACAGTAATGCAACATCTGTGAGAAAACTACACATACAGGGAAAGGCGTGATAAAATGAAGAAGAAGCAAATAGTGACTTAAGGATGTTTTCCTAACAATACTTTGTTTTATGTCAATAAAAATTACCCAATAAATACTTTATTAATTGATTAAATAAATGATTTTTAAAAACCAAAGCCAAACTGCTTCACTGTATCACGTTCCCAGCACAGAATATGCTATTATAGGTACGATAAGTTCAATTCTATAAAGTTCAATTTAACACATATACAGTTTGACTATCTCTTTCTTATTAATTTTTTAAACTTTTATTGATTCTTTGTGGATTTCACATCATGTTTTCTGACTTTGCTTTTCTCCCTGTCCCCTTGCAGCTGTCCTCTGTCCTTGTAACCCTCCCTCTAAAACGAAACAAAATTTAAGAGAAAAACAAAAATAAGAAAAAGAATCTCATTGTGGAAGCTGTAGTGTGGCCCACCAAGTCACACAGTTACCTTTAGTACATTCATTGTCATTTCCAAGGGTCATTGGTCTGGCTCAAAGCTTCTGGCTTCCTCTGGCTCTCAGTTGTCCTGTGTTACGGAGGTTGTGCTGTTTTGGATCCATAGGTCCATCCCCTTCACATGTTCTAACAGTCCATAGACAATGTGGACGTTGGGGTGGACTAACTCATAGCCCTCGTTATGGGCCTGGGTGGAAGTTGAGTTGGATAACCTACCAGCTTTCGGCATCCTCACCACCAGGGTGTGAGCTCTCTGGCCCTGCCTTGGCTAGATCACCCAGTGCAGCCTGCAGCAAGGCACAAGAACAGTTCTCCCGCTCTCAGGTCCTCAGGCTCTCCCACCAGGACCAGCTCTTTTGCCCAGGCTGGTACAGAACCCTCACTCCCAATTGCTGTAGGAGGAATATGAAGGGGATAGGTAGATGTAAGGCTGTCTCACCTGTACCCCTAACAACATGGTCATCTCTAATGTGCTGCCCAGGTGGGGTGCAGGACCCACTCTCCTATGTGCTGTAGCTGGTGAGAGGCAGGGCTGATTCTCTCACTCTCAGACCTCAGGGCCAGCTCTGTTGCCTGTTGTAGGTAGCAAGGGGCAGAGGGGAGAGCGTATCTTCTCCTTACCTATGCTACCACATGGTAGATAACAGAGGTGGGGAGGTCAACTCTCTTTCTCTCACACCCCCAGGATAGGCTCATCTACATTCCTAACCACAGGGTCAGCTCTAGTATGCTTGAGTACATGCCGGAGCCTTCTTCCCTGGATGTGGAAGGCGAGTTCTACCCTAAGAGCAGGGCCAGCTCTCTTGCTGCAGTATCCAGAGAGGGGCAGGGCCAGCTATCCCAGGGCCAGTGAAGGACAGAGTTAGCTCACCACAGTGTGTTTCCAATGACCACTCGTGATAACCCAGACCATGTGCATCAACACAGAAACCAATTACAGCAAGACCATGGACCCAGACATGGTCCTCGGCAGCAGTTCAGGCCCAGACATCACCATGGCCTAGGGTGGCAGCACAGGCCACCCAGATCAGTATGGTCATGGCAGCAGCATGATCTTCAGACATGGACAATGATTACGGGTAGCTGACCAGACCCTACTCATTTACACGACCGCCACTGGTAACAGAAGCTGTAGACATCAACTGCTGTTGTAGGACTATGAACTCAGGCATGGCCCTCAGCAGTAGCCCTGACTTGAATGATACCATGGCCCCAGATAATGGTGTTGGCCACTCAAACTGACTTCATCCTGGTGACAGAATAGCACACAGACACCACCATGATCACAGGTTGTGGTCTAGACAGTGGTCATCTGTGTGGCCTTTAGTGGCAACATGCCAGGGATATCAACACAGACCCCGGCTGTGGCAGGACCACAGACCCAGACACAGGTCTAGACAATAGCCTGGGCCCAGTTGTCTCATGGCCCCATGTTGCAGTGCATGCCACCCAGGTCTGCATCTCCCCACAGCAGCATAGCCCTTGGACACCAACAATACCCCAGGTGGCAGCCCTGACTATCTCTTAAAAGCACAAAGTCAAGACATTGCTTTGGGAGGTGAAAGAATAAATTAAAGGGTACCAGTTTGCGCTTCATGGAGAGGAAAAAACACAGTTAATAGAACCCAAGAAAAGTCATTGTTACTATCAATTTAACAAGGTAAATTCAATGTTATGTTAAATAAGGAAAAAAAAGAAGCAACTAGAATCATTGGCTAAAAATTTCAAAAATAATACTCGAATGTTGGTGGTACATTTACAAAAACCTTTAAATCTTAAATATTTATAATTAAAGTTTATACACTTATGGAAAGTCTGGCATAGTTGCTCACTTACTAACCACAGGGATACCTAACCCGAATTCTGTACCCGTGTTCATGAGATACTTTCCAAGACCCTGGTTTCTCCAGAGGCCCCATTGATCAGAGTAAAACAGCTTGAAACAAAAAATAGAAACAAAACAAACATGGGATCTACATATAAGGAAGATCTGAACCTGTGAGATGACAGAAGGAGAAAAATCAAACCTCCACAAAAAAAAAAAAAGGAGCTAGACTGGGTAGAGAGATCAAACAATCCACACTCCTTTTTGAATAAGAAATGACATCTCAAAGAGGCAACAGAAGCATCAGAGGAGAAACAAAGCAAAGAAGCATTAGAAGATGAATACTGAGCTTTGGTTATGGCAAAACTTGTACATACAAAGCGACTGACATGCAATTCTGCAGGAAGAGCAAGATCACAAGACTCCCAGCCTTCCTTCTAGACCCCAAGATCTCTGCCACATGCTGAATCAGGATCTTCCAGTTCTTACTTGTTCACCTCCAAGTCTTGTTCCTACCACCCTGTGTGGATTTACATCACCTGAGGTAACCTTGAGACAACACTGAACTTACCTAAACCCTGCACTTCTGGAAAACAATGGCAGTTAAGCAATCCCACCCATTCTCTGAAGTTCTGAGAGATGCCTAGCTGTAAATTAGCATTATTCCTCTTGGCTTGCAGAAAACTCAGTGGTGACCATCTTGCAGTCTCTGCTAAGGCTGACACAAATGACAGTCCAAATTCCCATTCTGTTGTCTTACAGAACTTTCTGTCTCCATTTACCCAGGTTAAGCCTGGGTCAAAGACTCCACCAAACTCAAATCCATCTTCTCTCCTTGTTCTAAACCCCTGAATTTTAAAACACATGATTAATGAAAACCACCACTAGCTAATGGCTCCTGTAAGAAACCACCTGTCTAATACCATCATTCAATCCCCCACAGGCAAAGCTGTCTGTACTTCTTTTACATCTTTTTTTCTGCTTGAACTTTTCAGATACTTAAAGATCTGCTAGGTCAAATAGTTCTTCCTATTTCAGTTCTCTTCGACTCTCCATGGTCACCATCCTCTTCCATTAAAGAGTACAAGATTAAAGGCTGCCTTTATCTAAATCTAGACCTACTATTGCTTGACACTTTCAACCTAGAAAGGGGTTTAACTTTCTAAAACACAAATCATAATTCCCTCTTATAGAATCACAATTGTTACAACCTTTTGATATATAACAACACAAGAAAATATATAGGAGACAAGAACAACGTAACTAATATGCTGTCATATTTCCTTCAATATTCAAAAAAGAAAATTATACATTAAAATATACCAGTAAAATGCATTTTATAATAAAAATGAAAACTTACAAATAAGTGAGGTTTGAAATCAGTAATAATTTCTACACATTTCTCTTTTGGCTGATATAATCTAATTGTATCTTTAGGACTTACTAAAAAGAAAGAAGATGCTAGTTGAACTACTACTTCTCTTTAACTCAAGCATGAGACCAGTAATCATATAATTACTAAAATTCTTTCTGAAGAACTCTTTATGACAGTTTGTTACTTCTCCATTAGCCCAGGGATCTTAATCAGATGCATAAAATAAATTCTCAATAAAATCATAAAGGAAAAGACAAGGCATTTCTATACCCATAGAGTATAGAAAATGTTTAAAATCATAAAAACATAGCAAAGAAAATACAGAAAAGTAAACCACTCACCCGCATTGACTATTGCGTCCACCTCTAGCAATGTGATGTCACCCCTGTAGAGAGAAACCTTTTCACTGAAACTTTTCTTCATTTGTGGCGTTTCCTGAGTGTTTTCTTCTGTAATAAAAAGAGATATATATTAAGGGTAATATCCTAATTTAATCAAGATCTTTTTGTGTACATGTATGTGTGTCTTCATGTTAGGGGGTGTATTACTGTTCCATGGTGCCTGTGTGGAGGGCACAGGACCACCTTCACTTTCCAGCTTGTTTTCACACAGTCTTTCTACCACTTCATGTGCCAAGCCAGCTGGACCTCAGCTTCTGAGGTCTATCTCTGCTTCTATCTCCCCATTATAGAAACCCAGACAGATCTGGCTATTTTATATGGGTTCTGATTCAGACTCAGGTTCTCATGACTAAATGGAAAGAACTTTTACTCACTAAGCCATATCTCTGAGGACTAAGCAACTACTTTCTAATCAGGACAACTATAAAGTCAATATGAAACACAGAGTTACAAAGGAAATTTAAAAATATATGTAAGTATCAGGGGTGTGATTTATTCTCTATTTATATTTTATTTTCAAGATAAATGCACTATCTATACCAATGGTCAGGTGGAAGTTTTGAGCAACTTTGGGCAATATCTTTGATCACTAAGAAAATTAACATCAATTTTATTTTGATGCTATAATTTGAAGATGAAATTATGTTCTATTATACTCATAAGGAATAGAGATGTGTAACTACGGAAAGAAAATATATTTCTCAGTGAAGGAGCTCATTTCTACTTTCCCCTGTTACTTAAAAGGACCATATGAAACATTTATTTGACCATTTAGGTTCAACTCTTTGCTACCTTTAAAAAAGATGTCCCTCAGGGTAGAACACCTCAAAGAGAAGAAATAAATTTGTGAAAATGTTCTTTCCTTACCACATTGTATCTAACCTTTTGCTCTGTAAGGCAATGTTACTATGCAAGAGAAATAGCACCATAAAACACATGGAACCAGCAAGCTGCTCTAAAATCTGACGCATTGTTACGTACTTGAGAGAATTTGAATTGTCACTTATTTTAAGACAAAGAAACATGTCTTAAAATACACAAAGATTATATATAAAAATACCATATTTTAGAAAAATATTTATAAACTTAAGTATTTATGAAATATGTATATCTTTTATAGAGAACTATAATGCTATCCACTCACTAAAACATTCTCAAGTGAGCATGTAATCTTAAAGTATTTGGGAGATAAGAGGTTTTGAAGTACCTAAATTGTCTTTGAGACTGTCCTAGCTTGGTTTCTCTCTTGCTATAATAAACACCATGACCAAAACCAACCAGGAGAAGGAAAGGTTCTATTTCCTCTTACACTTACAGTCCACCACAGAAACTGAAGCAGAGACCAAGGACGAACACTGATAAAGGCTTGCTTTCTCTGACTTGCTCAGCTACTTTTGTTAAACAGCTGAGGGTCCATGCCAAGGCATCAAACCACCTACAGTGGGTTAGGCCCTCCAGCATCAATCACCAATCAAAAAAATACCCCAAAGATATGCCCATAGGCTAATTGACTGGAGACAATTCAATTGAGATTCCTAATACAGCAAGACCATGAGTTTCACATCCCGTCAGTTAGTACTCTTAGGGCGTTTAAATTTAAAAACCCTGATTTCCAGTTAAAGTTTACTGGACTACAATAAATATCTGATGATTTCTGCAGACACCCAAAGTATCTGCATCAATGAAAATCTATAAATTACAAGACTTCTCACTGAAGTTAAGTGTCAGAACTCCAGTGGGTATTAAATTAGCAAGGACTTCACAAAGAAAACAGAATTTATTTGTATTTTAGAGATGACAAATAGACTTAGAAGCATTTCCACTTTTAAGAAATAGGTCTATAAAATTAAGCCCTTATTTCCCTGTGGAGTGTTTTATATACACCACTACATTTGTAGTGGTGCTGTTAAGTTGCTAGATACTGGCAGGATTCGAGGACATTAAGGCTGGACCCCTCCTTCATAACCAATACCTTATCAAACCAATAGCTGAAAATGAAGGAAGCTAAGTACTAGTCAGAGGAATGGAATGTGACTTGAGTCCTAACTCTGGCCGTTAGAGGAAATGTGACATTTTGAGCCTCACAAAATGACATTAATTATTAACCATTTAAACTTGGATCCAAGTGCTGGGATTAAAGGCGTGCGCCACCACCGCCCGGCAGAGGCAGGCGGATCTTTGTGAGTTCAAGACCAGCCTGGTCTACAAGAGCTAGTTCCAGGACAGGCTCCAAAACCACAGAGAAACCCTGTCTCGAAAAACCAAGAAAAAATAAAATAAAATAAAATAAAATAAAATAAACTTGGATCCAAGAGCACTAAACTTTACAAGATCACTGTATATCATGAGGTTTTTGTGGTTTTAAAAAAAAGGGATTGTAGATTATATCATTTGTCCATCCCTCCCCTCACCCTTGTAAGGGACAATCCTAACTGGCTTGTCAATTACCTGGACAGAAAAATGCCCCCCCAAAAAAGTTGCCAATTCAAGAAAATTTAAAAGCTATATTTTAAAAAATGTATAAAATCTGCTTAAAATGAAAAATTGTCACAATTCTCTCATGGATAGAATCATAGCCCTGCCGATATGAATTCTTTGACTTCTTCCTTTCCTACTTGTATCTATTTTATTTCCTTCTAAGTGGTCTAGCTAGGACTGCAAGCACAATATTGAATAGGGCTGAAGGGAATGGGCGTCTTGTTACTGATGTTAGAGAGACTGCTTTGAATTTTCTCCATTTTGCATAATGATTACTATCAGTTTGTCATTTGCAGATTTTACTGAATGGAGTTATAGTCTCTCCATTTCTAGTCTCGCCAAGTCTTTATTTATGAAGAGGGGTTGGAGTCTGTCTTTCTGCATCTACAGAAATGATCACATGATTTCTTTCCTGAGTTCACTTATGTAAAAAATAATATTGATTGACTTCCATGTGTTGAAAATGATTGTATGTCCAGAATGAAGGCAATTTGATCACGGTGTTTTGGTGTGTTATCGCGTCAATTTGCAAGTACTATATTAAGAAACTTTGACTATATGTTCATCACGAGATCAGTCTATAATTTCATTGTTGCTGTTGTTGTTGTGTCTTTACATGGTTTATCCATCATTTAAAAATGTGTTATTTAGTCCCATGAATCTGTGTATTTCTACAGTTTTTCTTGCTATTGATTTCTAGCCTTACTCCACTATGTTCTGATAACAGATATCCTAGCTCTTCTATATTTGTTGAAATTAGAATTGTGCCAAATATGTGATATACTCTAGAGAAAGTTCTATATATTTCTGAGAAGAATGTGAATTCTTTAGAGTTTTGGTATTCTTCTGTAGATGCCTGTAAGGTATGTTTGATCTGTGATGTGATGTCATTTAATGTTTCTTTGTTTGGCTGGGTTTTTTGTCTGTTGTTTGGAAGGGGGGCTGACTGATCTAACGGTGATGATAGAGTATTAAGTCACTATTAATATATATGGATTAATTCATGTCTTAATATTTAGTAGAACATATTTTATGAAACTAGATGAGGCTGTGCTTGGTGTGTTTATGTTTAGAATTGTATTATTTTGACAGATTGTTCCTTATCAGTACGAAGGGACATTCTTTATTTATGCTGACGAGTTCTGGGTTGAATTCAATTTTATGAAATATTAGGATAGCACTGTCCATGTGCTTTTTTGGTCTTATTTCCTTAGAAGACCTGTTTTTGTCCCATTCCTTTACCCTAAGATGTGTGTGACTTGGAGACAGCAAAAATCAAGAGTTTGCTTTCTAATCTAATCTTCTAGTTCATGTCCTCTGATGAGTGAATTGTTAATCATTAATATTCAGAGTTACTATGGACTGGTATTAATTCTTGCCATTTGTGTGTTTGATGTTTCCTTAGTCCTCTCTTAGCAAATGTGTTGGCCTCATTTATTTTTCTCTCAGTAGCCTCTTTGATGTGTTTATTTCTGACCTTAATCTAAAGTATTTACCCCAATATGCTTTGTAGGACTTCCTTGGTGATTACAAACTCCTTTGGCCTGCTCTTGTCACAGAAAGTTGTTCTTTCGCCTACAATCAAGACAGACCAGGGTACTTGGCATATTCAGCTGGGTTGGCAGTTACCACCTTTCAGAAGTCTTTTCAAGCCCTTCTTACTTTCAAAGTTTTAACTGAAAAGCCAGAAGTTATTCTTATGCTTGTCCTTATATGTGCCTTGGCCCTTCTCTCTTGCAGTTTTCAGTACGTAATTTTGTTCTGTATATTCAATGTTTTAACTATGATATGATATAGGAACTTCCTTTTCTGATCCCATCTATTTGGTCTTTAATGTGCCTTAATATTTGGATGAAGTTCTCTTTACCTAGGTTTTAGACTTATTTTCTATGAACTTATTTAAAAGATTTTATGTGCCTGTGATATGAAATTCTTACTCTATATACCTACAATTTATAAATTTTGCTTTTTTTTATGATGTTCCCAAGTTCTTTAATGTTCCATTCATGTTTCTTTAAAATTTATCATTGATCTTGACCGAATGATCCAGTTCTTTTACTTTGTCTTCAAGCTCTGAAATTCTATCTTCCATATAATCCTTTAGTGTGATATTTTGTGTTTTAATAAATAAAGCTCACCTGAAGATCAGAATGCAAAGCTAGCCACACTAATCAGCCATACAGGGCAGGCAACGGTGGTGCATGTCTTTAATACCAGCACTAGAGAGAAATATAAGGCAGGATGAGACAGGAACTCGATCTCTTTTCAGTCTGAAGATTTCATAAAGGTAAGAACTCTCTAGAGCCTTGGCTGCTTGGCTTTTTTAATCTTCAGCTTGATCCCTAGTATCTACCCCTGGGTTTTTATTATCTGTGTTACAATTCTTCCACTGATAAAGTTTTCTGCTAAACTTTTGGCCTACTGTTTTTCTTCTCATTTCTATCATCATTTAGGTTTTTTCAGTTTGATTTTTCTTCAGTGCTTATTTTTATATAATGTTATTTTTGAATCTTCAATTGACTTCCTCATTTCATTCAGCTGTTTGTGTTCTCTTATAATTTCTTTGTGCT